GACATGTAGTCTGTACACAGAATCCTCCCTACAGGGCTATAGGAGAGCGGGGCATGCTGGGACATGTAGTCCGTACACAGAATCCTCCATACAGCTCTATGGGAGAGACCGGGGCATGCTGGGACATGTATTCTGTACACAGAATCCTCCATACAGGGCTATAGGAGAGCAGGAGCATGCTGGGACATGTAGTCCGTACACAGAATCCTCCATACAGCACTATGGGGAGAGGCGGGCATGCTGGGACATGTAGTCCGTACACAGAATCCTCCATACAGGGCTATAGGAGAGCGGGGGGCATGCTGGGACATGTAGTCCATACACAGAATCCTCCATACAGCACTATGGGGAGAGCAGGGCATGCTGGGACATGTAGTCCGTACACAGAATCCTCCATACAGGGCTATAGGAGAGTGGAGCATGCTGGGACATGTAGTCCGTACACAGAATCCTCCATACAGCTCTATGGGGAGAGGCGGGGCATGCTGGGGACATGTAGTCCGTACACAGAATCCTCCATACGGGGCTATAGGAGAGCGGGGCATGCTAAGGACATGTAGTCCGTACACAGAATCCTCCATACAGCTCTATGGGGAGAGGCGGGCATGCTGGGACATGTAGTCCGTACACAGAATCCTCCATACAGCTCTACGGGGAGAGAGCGGGGGCATGCTGGGACATGTAGTCCGTACACAGAATCCTCCATACAGGACTATAGTAGAGCGGGGCATGCTGGGACATGTAGTCCGTACACAGAATCCTCCATACGGGGCTATAGGAGAGCGGGGCATGCTGGGATTATCTTCATATCATTCAAAACACAGCTCTATGGGGAGACCGGGGCATGCTGGGACATGTAGTCCGTACACAGAATCCCCCATACAGGTATATAGGAGAGCGGGGCATCCTGGGACATGTAGTCCGTACACAGAATCCTCCATACAGGTATATGGGGAGAGTGGGGCATGCTGGGACATGTAGTCCGTACACAGAATCCTCCATACAGCTCCATGGGAGAGCGGGGGCATGCTGGGACATGTAGTCCGTACACAGAATCCTCATAACAGCTCTATGGGGAGAGCGGGGCATGCTGGGGACATGTAGTCCATACACAGAATCCTCCATACGGGGCTATAGGAGAGCGGGGCATGCTGGGACATGTAGTCTGTAGTCCCGTACACAGAATCCTCCATACAGGTCTATAGGAGAGCGGGGTATGCTGGGACATGTAGTCCATACACAGAAATCCTCCATACAGGTCTATAGGAGAGCGGGGCATGCTGGGACATGTAGTCCATACACAGAATCCTCCATACAGGTCTATAGGAGAGCGGGGCATGCTGGGACATGTAGTCCATACACAGAATCCTCCATACACAGGAGAGCGGGGCATGCTGGGACATGTAGTCCGTACACAGAATCCTCCATACGGGGCTATAGGAGAGCGGGGCATGCTGGGACATGTAGTCCGTACACAGAATCCTCCATACGGGGCTATAGGAGAGCGGGGCATGCTGGGACATGTAGTCCGTACACAGAATCCTCCATACAGGAGAGCGGGGCATGCTGGGACATGTAGTCCGTACACAGAGCCCCCTGCTGGCCATACAGGGACATAGAGGAGAGGAGTTTCCTGCCATCTACACCCCACACATCACATTTATTCCATTTACATGATTTATTTCTCATTACAGAACAAATGTTAATAATTGTCTATAATAAATGTCATTTTACACACTGAGGGGGAGATTCCATTTATTTATAACATTGATTTCATTTACATTCATTGTAATCATTTATCCAATCAGGTGTCTGCAGCTGCACAGGCCCCGCCCCCTTTCTCGCTGTGCCAGCGGAGGGGCGGAGCCTGTTTGCTTCCACTGCGTCACATGACCCTCCCAGGGGGCGGTCCCTCAGAGGAGCAGCAGAGGCGCTCAGTGTGAATTTCCTCTCCCCGGAGTCAGACGTTCCTTAGAGAGCTGCTGATCTCTTCTCATTTATCGCCAGACATTCCATCTCCAGCGATCGGTATTGAGAGGCAATTCATCACCTTCATCCATAGGGATCGGTAAGTCCGATTTGTGTCTTCATCTGCTGAACTCATTGATTGTTAGTGTCAGTTCCTCTCCATAGGAAGATGAGGCAGCAGATCGTCACCGTGATTCTTATGGTATTCCTCTCCTGGGGGGGAAGAAGAAATGTCCCCGATGTCTCCCCCGACATCCACATGCTGGAGAAGGAGGCCGCCATCAAAACAACGGAGCGGCCAGAGGAGAAATGGGGCCGACCAATGGAAAGTCATCCTCCAGAGACCTCTATCAGAGGAGGAGGCGACCATCAGGACACAATGGAGGGACCAGAGGAAGGACTGCTCAGAGAGAAATGGAGAACGAGTCTCCACAGACCCTTATGGAAGGGAAGATGGAGAATACGAAATATAACGGAGGAGCCGTGGGGGGTTCTGTGGTCTTCCACCATATTGTACCCTCGGTTAGGGAGAAGACATGTCACCAAAGACCCCCCAAAGGTCCTCATGGCAGAGGAGAAGGGGACCATCAACACAATGGAGGGACCAGAGGAAGGACTGCTCAGAGAAATGGCAACCGAGTCACCGGGACCCTCCAGCTGGTTCCCATCACTGGCCAGCACTGCATTCTGGGTAAATGTGACCCTCTGGATGAGTTTTCTCATTGTGAAATACATCCTGCGCACAGATCTCCCGGCCGTGATATTAGGAGAACTATTGATGCTCCTGCAGCTGATGGAGTTCATTTATGAGGAGCTGATCCAATCCGATGTCCATTGGTCCAATGAGGGGCCGGCCTTAGACCACACAGGCCCACCCCCGCTTACAAATCTTGTGGCTGACATCTGGTCAGAATACTTTCAGGGGCGTGTCATGATACAGCCGGTGCGGCCTGCAATGCTGCTGGTGCTGCTCATTATACTGCTGGTGCTGCTTGTAATATACTTCAAGCCGTTCAACCGATTTCTTCTCACCATCCAGTGCTGACACCCCCCAGCCTCTGAATTCCCAGGAGGTGAGCCCCAGCATAGCCCCTCCTAGGGGTCACATCGATGATTACACACAGACTCCTCCAATCATGCTGAAAGAGTGCCGCCATGTCGCCTGCCCAGTGTCCGAGTGTCACCCACCGGAGTGAGACACCGTCACCCCCACTAAGTGACACCAGCACCCCAACCGGGAGTGAGGCCGTCACCCCAACCGGGAGTGAGGCCGTCACCCCAACCGGGAGTGAGGCCGTCACCCCCCCAACCGGGAGTGAGGCCGTCACCCCAACCGGGAGTGAGGCCGTCACCCCAACCGGGAGTGAGGCCGTCACCCCAACCGGGAGTGAGGCCGTCACCCCAACAATGAGTGACACCATCACCCTACTGAGTGATTTCATCAATCCATCAGCACGTGCTTGCTCCCGGATTAATGAGCGCTGGAAAAGAGCCGGGCTCAGAGCACACAATGCTGCTTGGTGGGTGTCCTTATGCCAATCTAACAACTGATACCATCACCCCCAGCCGAGTGACAGCACCCCGGCATCAAGTGCTTCACCCCGGATGAATGAGCCTAGGAAGGACAGCAGGCTCAGGCGTCCCAGCGCTATTCCCCGTCCTATCACCCGACGAAAGACTGAGAATATCACCCCACCGAGTGATATCAGCAATCCACCATCAAGTGCTTCACCCCGAAAGTGTGAGCTCAGGAAAAGCAGTAGGATCGGGCGACCCAGCGCTATCCCCCGTCCTATCACCCCACGAAAGACGGATGACATCACCCCACCAAGATGTACCATCACCCCAACAAGTGACAACAGCACCCCAACATCAAGTGCTTCACCCCGGATGAATGAGCTCAGGAAAAGCAGTAGGATCGGGCGATCCAGCGCTATCCCCCGTCCTATCACCCCACGAAAGACTGAGAATATCACCCCACCGAGTGATAACAGCACCCCAACGACAACCAATACCACCACTCCACCGACAAGCGATAACATCAATCCACCATCATGTGCTTCACCCCGGATGAATGAGCTCAGGAAGAGCAGTAGGCTCAGGCGTCCCAGCGCTATCCCCCGTCCTATCACCCCACGAAAGATGAATGACATCGCCCCACCGTGTGACAACAGCACCCCAACAGCAAGTGCTTCACCACGGATGAATGAGCGGGGTGGAGTGGACGGTGACCGTAGGGCAGAGGACGGTGTCAGGGAAGTAGTGGATGGGTACGGACGGTGTCAGTAGGGCAGTGGACAGTGTCGGTAGAGCAGTGGGAGGTGTGTGGACAGTTGGTGTCAGTAGAGCAGTGGACTGTGTCGGAGGAGGAGTGGTTGTTGTGAGCAGAGCAGTGGATGGGGTCAGCTTTTCATTCCTGTTGTTAATATATATATATATATAAAAATGTATTTATTTTTTACATAAAAAATACCATCAACCCACCGACAACTACCCAAGACAGGGTAGGTTCTGACTGGACATAATGGGGTAGGGAGTTCCAGAGGATGGGAGAGAATAAGAGGGGCCCAAGGACAGAGCCTTGGCATACCCCAACAGAAAGAGGAAGGGGAGCCAGGAGATGGTGTTGTATGTGATAGCAAATTTACTAAAAGAGATGATCAGAGACTGCAGAAATACTACAAGAGATGATCAGAGACTGCAGAAATACTACAAGAGATGATCAGAGACTGCAGAAATACTACAGGAGAGTATTAGAGACTGCAGAAATACTACAGGAGAGTATTAGAGACTGCAGAAATACTACAGGAGAGTATTAGAGACTGCAGAAATACTACAAGAGAGCATTAGAGACTGCAGAAATACTACAGGAGATGGTCATTAGAGACTGCAGAAATACTACAAGAGAGTATTAGAGATTGCAGAAATACTACAGGAGAGTATTAGAGACTGCAGAAATACTACAGGAGAGTATTACAGAGTGCAGAAATACTACAGGAGAGTATTAGAGACTGCAGAAATACTACAGAGAGTGGCCAGAGACTGCAGAAATATTACAGGAGATGGTCAGAGACTGCAGAAATACTACAAGAGAGTATTAGAGACTGCAGAAATACTACAAGAGATGATCAGAGACTGCAGAAATACTACAGGAGAGTATTAGAGACTGCAGAAATATTACAGGAGATGGTCAGAGACTGCAGAAATACTACAAGAGAGTATTAGAGACTGCAGAAATACTACAAGAGATGATGATCAGAGACTGCAGAAATACTACAGGAGAGTATTAGAGATTGCAGAAATACTACAGAGAGTATTAGAGACTGCAGAAATACTACAGGAGAGTATTAGAGACTGCAGAAATACTACAAGAGAGTATTAGAGACTGCAGAAATACTACAGGAGATGGTCAGAGACTGCAGAAATACTACAAGAGAGTATTAGAGACTGCAGAAATACTACAAGAGATGATCAGAGACTGCAGAAATACTACAAGAGAGTATTAGAGATTGCAGAAAATACTACAAGAGAGTATTAGAGACTGCAGAAATACTACAGGAGAGTATTAGAGAGTGCAGAAATACTACAGGAGAGTATTAGAGACTGCAGAAATACTACAAGAGAGTATTAGAGACTGCAGAAATACTACAAGAGAGTATTAGAGACTGCAGAAATACTACAAGAGAGTATTAGAGACTGCAGAAATACTACAGGAGAGTATTAGAGACTGCAGAAATACTACAGGAGAGTATTAGAGACTGCAAAAATACTACAAGAGAGTATTAGAGAGTGCAGAAATACTACAGGAGAGTATTAGAGACTGCAGAAATACTACAGGAGAGTATTAGAGACTGCAGAAATACTACAAGAGAGTATTAGAGACTGCAGACATACTACAAGAGAGTATTAGAGACTGCAGACATACTACAGGAGAGTATTAGAGACTGCAGAAATACTACAGGAGAGTATTAGAGACTGCAGAAATACTACAGGAGCCAGAGACTGCAGAAATACTACAAGAGAGTATTAGAGACTGCAGAAATACTACAGGAGAGTATTAGAGACTGCAGAAATACTACAAGAGAGTATTAGAGACTGCAGAAAATACTACAGGAGGTGGTCAGGGACTCGCGTTGGTGGTGCAGTGGATAGCTTAGCTGCTTTTCTAGGAGCTGACCCGGGTTCGATCCCCAGCCAACGCAATCGCCAACATGGCTGCCTCACCTGCTAAGTGCTTTGCAGTCCCTGAGGAAGAAGTGCTACCCCCCCCCCCCCCCATAACCCTAACTGGAACCCTCGAACTAACCCACATAATTCTAAATTATAACCCCTAAATCACACATAGCCCCTAACGTAACACAGCCCCCCTTTTAAATGCAAGCCTTCCCCTGGCAGGGCAGAGACACTAATCCTTCTGGGGTGTCCTCTTCTGGGCCTCTGGCCCCACCAGTGGTGTCGTCCTCATGGGGGGGGGGGTGGGGTGGGAGCTGCCTAGGTTTTTGTGTTGGCAGGTGGGCAATCGCCTGGCTTGCTGGCGCTTTCTGTCTCGAGCTGCAGAGAACGGAGGTCTTTGCATGTTGACTGGGTGGTCGCCGGCTCCTGCCCCTCGGTCCCGATCTGCAGCTACTTGCACCCCGCCCACTGTGGGCATGGGCGTCAGTGGCTGGGCGGGGGGCCCCGAGGACTGTTCCTCGGTCCGGTTTATGCTATTTAGTGACCACTGTTCTATATGCTGCCCCCCCCCCTCCTATCCAGGAGTACAAGGGAGCCGCACCGGCCCCCAGATCATAGGGCCAAGTTGCGATTGCAACCCCTGTAGGTATGCCCCTGGGCATGAGCACCAAACGTTTTTTCGACATTAGTGTTCCACAGTTCAACATGACAAAGAGGTCTCCTCCTCTCCACATGCAGGACACGAAGCACAGCACTGGGGTCCTTGGTTCAAATCCTGATCAGGACACTACCTGCATGGAGTTTGTATGTTCTCCCTGTACTTGCATGGTTCCCTCCAGGTACTCCAGTTTCCTCCCACACTCCGAAGACACGCCTCTCACGTTGGTGGTGCAGTGGATAGCATAGCTGCCTTCCCAGCAGCTGACCCGGGTTCGATTCCCGGCCAACGTAATTGCCTTCCTCGCCTGCTTTGAGTCCCTAAGGGTAAAGATATGGGGGGGGGGGGGGGGTCTTCAAGATGTTTCCACACTTTTTCTTACTAAATAAACTTTCTGAAGAACCTTCCTACAAATTAAATAAGGAGTATAAATTCCTTGGAAATGATTACTTTGTATTCTCATTATCAGCCAGTAGGTGGAGCACTTGGCTCCTTTTTTAGGTGTTTTCTAGGCTATCCTTTAGCAGCTTGGCTGAAAAAATAAAAAGGCCGGCAGTTTACTATAGAGATCAATAGCTCACGGGCTGAAATTTAGATTTGAATGCGTCTGAACAGTGACTCCACCCACTCCCTGCCGGTTCAGTGTGGGCGGTCCCATCCAGAGTTTCAATCAGGGCGCGGTCTGACAATAAACAGATAAAACAGAGATGACGTTATAGATGAAGTACTTGGAAAGGTTATAAATATTAGGTGGTCACCCCGCTCTTCTAAAAGAGGAAATGCGTGTCGTGGTGTGCGCTGCCGGTACTTCTAATGGCATGAATGGGGCGATTCCTCCGTATGCTGCAGATATGGGAAATGGCGTTATTAGAGGACACAAGTTAGAGGGAGACAACAAATGGACGCCGCACTCCGCAAACCAACATCAAATCCTCTACAAAGATCCCCAACTCCTGGTTCACATATGTGCGGGCCCGCGATTTGCGCAGGTATGAGAGCCCAATCATTTCGTACTCTAGACCTTAGAGTGATGAGTCTAATGGGGAGGGGTAAATGTATAGAACCCAGAAGGGGAGCGGTACTCTGGACCTTGGAGTGATGAGTCTAATGGGGAGGGGTAAATGTAGAGAACCCAGAAGGGGGGAGTGGTACTCTGGGACCTTGGAGTGATGAGTCTATTGGGGAGGGGTAAATGTAGAGAACCCAGAAGGGGAGTGGTACTCTGGACCTTGGAGTGCTGAGTCTAATGGGGGGGTAAATGTATAGAACCCAGAAGGGGAGTGGTACTCTAGACCTTGGAGTTCTGAGTCTAATGGGGGGGGTAAATATATAGAACCCAGAAGGGGAGCAGTACTCTGGACCTTGGAGTGCTGAGTCTAATGGGGAGGGGTAAATATATAGAACCCAGAAGGGGAGCAGTACTCTGGACCTTGGAGTGCTGAGTCTAATGGGGGGGTAAATGTATAGAACCCAGAAGGGGAGCAGTACTCTGGACCTTGGAGTGCTGAGTCTAATGGGGGGGGGGGTAAATGTACAGAACCCAGAAGGGGAGCAGTACTCTGGACCTTGGAGTGCTGAGTCTAATGGGGGGGGGGGTAAATGTACAGAACCCAGAAGGGGAGCAGTACTCTGGACCTTGGAGTGCTGAGTATAATGGGGGGGGGGGGGTGGTAAATGTAGAGAACCCAAAAGAGGAGTGGTACTCTGGACCTTGGGAGTGATGAGTCTGTGTGTGTGTGGGAGGGTAAATGTATAGAACCCAGATGGGGAGTGGTACTCTGGACCTTGGAGTGATGAGTCTATTGGGGGGGGGGGGGTAAATGTATAGAACCCAGAAGAAGGGGAGCGGTACTCTAGACCTTGAAGTGCTGAGTCTAATGGGGGGGGGGGGTAAATGTATAGAAACCCAGTAGGGGAACGGTACTCTGAACCTTGGAGTGCTGAGTCTAATGGGGGGGGGGGGAGGTAAATGTAGAGAACCCAAAAGAGGAGTGGTACTCTGGACCTTGGAGTAGTGATGAGTCTGTGTGTGTTGTGTGTGTGTGTGTGTGTGTGGGGGGGGGGGTAAATGTATAGAACCCAGAATGGGAGTGGTCTCTAGACCTTGGAGTGCTGAGTCTAATGGAAGGGGGGGTAAATGTATAGAACCCAGTAGGGGAGCGGTACTCTGGACCTTGGAGTGATGAGTCTAATGATGGGGGGGGGGGGGGTTAAATGTATAGAACCCAGAAGGGGAGCGGTACTCCTAGACCTTGGAGTGCTGAGTCTAATGGGAACAGCACCGGGAGGAGGCGAGTATTCCTGGGCTGGTCATTTCTTTTCCTTTAGAACCTTTATCGGGCTTCCATCGCTGTGCTCTCTGATTGGGGAGATTTCTCCTAGTGACTGTCACCTCGCCATCTTCCCCAGAAGACCAGATTGGCATCCCTGGAAACTTCCAGAGCCTGAGACTCTCCAGGATAATTCTGGGGGTTTTGCCCTCCTTCTTTGGCTGATGTTGACCCCCCCCCCCCCCCCCCCCCCCCGCATCCTAAAATCGCTTACACTGGCTGTTATGCTGAGCCCGTAGTTTTCGAGACCTGCTGCTTCCAGGGTCAGTGGACAGATATAAAATCTGTTTGACAGCCAGGAAACTGGCATTTTCAAAAGAATCCCCCCTTTCCAGGACAGATGTAGACTAAAAAGACCATTGGTGTCATGCAGTCGGCTCTGCCAATTGTGGTGTTGACCCTGGAGCTATGTTGGCGCCATCAGATGGAAGGTCAGTCAACCACGGCTCAAGGGACCCCTAGAAACCTCTGGAAGAACCCCTCCTCTCTGTCAAATCATGTATGTTGCCATGTTGGTGCCCTGGGGGGAAATCAGAAAAAGGTCTCAAATGCTCACCAGAATTTTCCTTCCATGGCAGCATATACAGTTGTGTTGAAAATATATAGCAGTCAGACATCACTAACCGGATCAATCGACTGTTTTTGGTGGAAATGATATTTCTACATGGCAAATAATTTCCTAGCAGGTGTAGTAGAGTAATAGAAATCCAACAGACCCAACAGTCATGACATGCATGCTGCTGATTCTGTGTCATTGAATCACTCATTGAAAGGGGCGTGTTCAAAATAATAGCAGTGTGGAGTTCTATTAGTGAGGTCATTCATTCTTTGATAAACAGGTGGCAATTATTGCCCTTATTTAAGGAAGGAAGGCAGCAAATGTTGGACATGCTGGTTACAGTGCATTTCTCTCTGAAATTCTGAGGAAAATGGGTCGTTCCAGACATTGTTCAGAAGAACAGCGTACCTTGATTAAAAAGTTGATTGGAGAGGGGAAAACATATAAAGAAGTGCAGAAAAATGATCAGGGCACTGGGCTGCTCAGCTAAAATGATCGCAAATGCTTTAAAATGGCAACCGCCAAAAACCTGAAAGACGTGGAAGAAAGCGAAAAACTACCATTGGAATGGATAGAAGAATAGCCAAAATGGGGCGGACTCAGCCAACAATCAGCTCCAGGAAGATGAAAGAAGGTGACGTTCCCTGTGAGGACTCAGCCAACAATCAGTTGAAAGAAGGTGACGTTCCCTGTGAGGACTGTTACAATTAGAAGACGCCTATGTGAAGCCAAGCTATCTGCAAGAAGTCCCCGCAAAGTCCCACTGTTGGAAAAAAAGACGTGTGCTGAAGAGGTTACAATTTGCCAAAGAGCACATTGACCGGCCTAAAGAGAAATGGCGCAACATTTTGTGGACTGATGAAAGTAAGATTGTTCTTTTTGGGTCTAGTGGGCGGCGGAGACAGTTTGTCAGACGACCCCAAACACTGAATTCAAGC